GCCCAGCACCAGCATTCCAAATAGCATTCCTAAATATTCATGCTATCTTTCATGAGGAAAACTCTGGTACTATCTCAGAAGGAACATTCCCATTCCTTTCTAATAGAAACCTTCCTTAAAAAAAAACAACCAAACAATTCCCCATACTGCCTTCACAGGCTCTTTCCTTTGTACCCAAGGCTGTGATCCTTGAGGCCATTTCCATTTCAGCTGATGGCAAACATCCCACTGCCGGAGAAGGGAGGAGGATCGGACATAAAGACCGCGTTCAGCCGCACTGTCTTAGGGTCAGAAGTGCATGCTTTCAAGGTGGAGCGCATAACACATGGTTTGACTTGTTACGTTAAGTGTCTGTCATTAAGGGTAACATGCCAATTCTATAATTAAATCATGATACTGTATAATACAGAAGGTTACACTGCATGGGTAGAGACAGCTGTCAAGTCCTGTGCCTTTTATTAATACATACGGCATGCACAGCATGCGTGTCTCTAACTACGAGCTGGCTCTACCTCCATAAATCATTTTTGCCACTGTTTCTGATACTGGATAGCTTCAAAAAAAGCAAAAGCAGCCATTTATTTGAAAATTGGAACTGCAGTAGGAAAGTGTCATGTGTGTTGATCTTGCTGACTCAGAGCTACTAATTTCTTTAGCATTTCTAAAAGGAAGGTGGACTGATAGGCAAAACATCCTAATCCGAGCTCTGTCACGGAGGCACCAAGTGGCCTTTGGGCCAGTAATTTAGCTCTCAGTCTCTCTGCACTAGAGATAGATGAGACCTTGCAGAGCTGAATGGGGGATAATCTAATGAGAAAATGCTTGCACAGTGCACTGGGGGTGTAAAGTGACAAACAAAGAGCACTTCACATCAGTAAGTTTTGTTTCACTGACGTTATGGAGAAGCTGGGAAGAGCCGGCACCAGAAATGTGGCACACCAGTATCTAGCCACAAATGTTGCTTGGCAGTTTTATGAGAGCTTTCTGCTGCTAGAGGAACTGCCTGCAGGCTTCTTTGCTGTCTAATTCCTGTCATGAGGCACACTGAGAGCACCTCTACCACCTTTTAACAGTTTAAGTCAGGCCTGGGTGCTGCCCTGCTCCCCTTCCCTCCCTGCAGAGGACATCCACATTAAACTAAAAGAAGAGGTGTTGTCGAATGTTGCAAGACCGCTGCTCCTGTATGTTTAATGTCAGATTGTCCACAAAGGGCCTCTTTTCCTTCCCTCAGTAGGCTGGCGCTGCTGAAGCGGGCAGTCTCCAGATTTGGTACCCTTGACCTTTGTGCAGGACACCTGAGTAAGGCCCCGCTCTTCAGGCCTGTGCAGACATCCAGGTTTTCATGCCTTATTGCAGATCAAGCTTCCAGCGAAATTAATGGGATGCTTGTTACTGACTTCAGTGGTAGCTGAGTCAACTGCTCAGAAAGAAACCTGGAGAGCCCGAAGCACTTCCTGGCTCTGATCCACCGCAGCACTTCTGTGTGTTTAACTTAATAGTCCCTCTCCAGCTGGTGCCCCCACAGCATGTCCTGACTAAGCAAGGTCAAGATCCCCGCTTTCCTGGCTCACACCGCCGGTCCTGTGCACCTGAAAACATCGCCTCTTCCCTTCCCAGCGCTGACACGAATGTTACAAGCACCTAAACTTTTGTAATTAACCACTGCCTTTGGCATTACTCAGGCATGGCCGAGGAAAGATGTTCCTTTCTGATGCAAAGCATCCAGCTGTGCACGCCCGCTGGCCGTGCCATGGCTGACCTACCTTTAACAGAGGCCGAATACGTGGAAATGATGCAAAGGAACAGCACGGTTAGAAGAATCATGCTGGACTCCCCCGAGCTCCTGACTGCAGCATCAAGTGTGAAAGCCTCCAAGAAGCGAACTGCTGAGAGCGGAGCTGCTCTTGCAGAGGGAGCCGCCGCGCCGGCCGCCGTGTTTATCTAGATGTAGTAAAGGTCAGATTCCAAATTCCACACTCAGGTACTAAGTTCATGGAAGGACTTCCAGTTAATTATTAAGAGCTGAGGTAACTAGGGGCTTTTTACCCATTCTACCGATTGCCTCGGCTTTCAGTTTTGAATAGCAGTGCTGTGTGGCCACATTTCTGAGCAGTGGAGGCGGCCTCCAGGCCTGGCAGATCCATAGCTCCCTGCACTCCTCCTCTGCTTTAACCAAGGTGTGCCGGGGTCTGCTGCTGCCAGGGGCCAGGTTCTCCACCCTCGTGTATCAACTCTGTGGGCAACCAGAGGGAGATGCTTGATAAGGGTCTGGGAGCAGTTACACGGGGTTCTCTGTTAGCATCACCCACTCTCAGACATGTGGTCTGATTTTTTGGGTGGTCCTTTGGGGATCCAGGAGTTGGACCCGATGATCCTTGTGGGTCCCGTCTGATGTGGGATATCCTATGATATCACTGCAGCAACAGGTTAGAGACTGAGAAGATGAGACGAGCCAGCTGCTCCATCCCACCCTGGGGACTAAGAGCTGCTGTGCTCAGTCAAGCAACAGGGCAAACCACGTCCTCCTTTTTCACCTATATTTTCCCCTTTCCTCACATTCACTTTATCTCCCAATAAGCCCCAGCCTGACTAACCCAAGCGTTTTCCCATTTCCTCTGAGAGCAAACCCCAGCCCATCCCTCACTAAGCCATGCTGCCACGGGGCTCGTTAAGGAAACCCTTGGCCCTCCGATAACAGCGTGGCAGCGGGTTAACCCCCAATGCTCCTTGGCACAGCCTGCATGCCAAAATCTGTGCGAGGGCACACTCTCCCCAACTAACAAAGCCTCCCTCATTCTGCACAGGGAAAGATCTGCTCCTACGCATGCAAGTAGGGATAAGAGAGAGAACCATGAGCCATCACCATGCTCTTTCTCTTTATTTTCAGAGATTGTTTTAGCAATATATATACACAGACATATATATTTTCCTTCAACAAGCTAGGTCCTCTGAATAGCTCTTGGTCACAGAATAATTTTTCCACTATAGCCTGGAGTGCTACTTGCATCGTCGTCGCATTACAGCCTTAGGACTTTTGGCTGGCTGCTAGCTACTAATATCTCTAGTAAAATGGTGCTGTCCCAGGCTGTATTTAACTGCTAGCAATAGGCCATTTCTGTCATTGGCTCTTCTGTATTAGCGAGGAGCTGTGAGGTGAGAACACCCTTGGGTGGTATAAATGCCTCCTTCATTGCTTTGTGCTGACAGAAAAGCTGAGTATGGTGGATGCAAAATGTCATGCGATGTTGGGAAGCAACAGGGCTGCAACAGGTCCCCTTGCTCATGCTTATTTCCACACGTGGTGGAAACCCCCTGGAAGCTCTCTGTGCACTGTGTGTGTGCTATGAGAGGGAAGGAGGCAGGGAAGGATGAACAGAAGAAAACCTTGGGGCTGTGCCTGCTGCTCCCCAGTTTATTGTTATGTACATTGCTTCCCCAGTGCAGGCTGTGAAATGCTCCTAACAAAAGGGACTGGAGGCAGGGCCTCATGTGGACACCAGTGAAGGAAGCTGAACAGAGCCCAGAGCACGTATGGACCAGACGTGCTCTAGGAGGCACCCCCCAGCCTCTATGGACGTCCCAAGAGGCAGGATCTCCCCGTTGATTTGAGTACATCCCTGACTCCATTAGCCAAGTCTTGCACCCACCAAAGTCCACTACACGCAGAGGTTGCAGGATCAGTCCCTTAATGGATGCCTCACGCCATGCTGGCATATGTATTAGGGTCAAAGTATTACTGTTGCTGCACATTTTCCAGAGTCCAAACAATAAAGCTCATATCTTTATATGACCTAATAAAACTAATGACATTTCCTCACATCTTCTGGGTTCAGTGAAAGAATTTTGTCTTCCCTTCATAAACAATGGTGTGAAGCTTGTGGTTTTCACCTCATACTTTCACCTGTGAGTACCAAAGCATCCAAGTCTGTCTTTGCCCTGCAGCTAGCACCTGCATGCCCTGACACTGGGCGTTTTGCTGAATGATGCTCCCAAAATATCCTCGTTGCTGCCCTGGGGGGAGGCAGACACACAGCTAAACCTGTCTAAAGGTGAGTCCTGCGTGTCACTCACATCCTAATCCTCGCCTCCCTTGCCAGACCTCAGCCTTCCTAAGGCGGTCAGCAGAAGGCGTTTCTTCCCCCGTCTTCCTTCCACCCACTCGAGTGCTGCCGGCAGTCGTGGTGTGCAGCCAGCTTGCTGTTTGGTCCCGAGATGTCACGTTATGTCTACGTCAAAATAATAAAATTCATTTGGGCAGCTCTTCCTGCACTTCTGCAGCCGTCCAGGTCTTTGTTTTGCTTTGTCATCACTCAGGAAACGTTGCATGAACCCCTGTCGGTGTTTGAGGACGTAGGGCTCTGGATGAGCAATACTGCCACTTTGGAAAGCACAATATGAGGAGAAAATAAATGAATGTGTCAGCAGTTTCTGCGTTCTAAGAAACGCGTGAATATTATGTGGATTTGTTAGATGTGGGTTTGATTTTTCAAAAAGGAAAGCAAACAAATGGGCTTCTCTCAGCAACTGACTGTCAGCCGCTTAACGATCAAATGAAAACGAAGGGTTCTCCACAGGGACAGCGGTGCTTTGGGGATTGCTGAGCAGCCTGGCACGCCGATCTAGACTTTAATAGCAACACGAGGGAGGTTTTAAGGAGTTATTTTTAAAGCAACGCGAGAAAACAACCGCAAAGGAAACCAAATGTGACAGCAAGCACCCAACACGGGCAGTGCGAGGTCAGCAGCGTACTGCAGTGCCCACATACAGCTGGTTTGTGACTTTAATACAACTGTAATAAATCCGAAATTTGGGAGGGGGGGGGGTGACAAGGGGCTCCCCTCAGCTGCGTCACGGCCCCTGCTGCCCGCCGGGACTTGGAGGCGCGGCGAGGGTGTGACGCCGTGCGCATGCGCGGGGGAGGCGGCCGCTCCTTCCCCCGCCCCTCCCTCCTCGGGCGGCGCGCGCGCGGGGCGGCTCGCGGGTACGTCCCCCCCCCCCCTCCCTCACGCGGCCGTTGCCCCATGGAGGGGGCTCAGGGCGGGCAGGCCGGGAGGGAGGCAAAATGGCGGCGGGGAGCACGCTGCGAGCGGGGCTCCCTTCCCCTCCCTTTAGGCACCCGCAGCTCGGCCCCCGGGCCTTGTAACGCCCCGTAAAGGAAACTGGCGTTAGCTGGAGCTCTGCTGTGATGCAAGATACATCAATTTCTTTGTTGCTTTGGATATTTGGTAATAGTTTGTGATGCATAGCAGAACAGCTATTGTGTTTTTTTTTTTTTTTCTCTTATATTTAATCCAGTACGATTCCCTACTTGTGTGTGGTTTTGTGTTCATGGTTTTTCATTAGAAACTGTTGAATAGCTGCTGATAATACGCAGAATTCCAGATTCGTTCAGAATACAGGTCACAATCTCTATGTTTTTTTATATATTAGCACTTGCAAAGGCACTAATCCTCCTTTAAACAAAAAAGGTCCATCTCTTGTTTATGCTTTATTCAGATTTGTGATAGGTGTAGAGTGATATTTGTCCTGATTGAACTTCTTGCTAATAAATCTAACATCTACTTCTCTATTTCTTACAGAATTGGCGAAAGAAAAGCTTGCTTTGTATGAAATAGCCATCACGTTTTAAGATACGAGTCAGTAAACCCAACCAATAACTAATGTCATCAGAAACGCCAACGGAAAGTCCAGAGGTGCCAACAGAAAACACCATGCCCCCCGACGTTCCTGATGTGGAAGGAAAGGCGAAGTCTAGTGACAGTCAAGCAGACAGACAGGTGGAAGGCTCAGATGAGGTAGAATGTCTCGAGTCCCTGTCCAAGAGGCAAAGGAAGAAACTACTGAAGCAGAAACAGTGGGAAGAACAGAAGGATCTACGTAGGTATGGTTCACAAAGTGTCTTTCCTAGGATTGTGTGTAGTAGTGAGATCTAACAGTGCCATCAGCAGAATCTGTGTGTAGATTGCTTGAGCAAATCAAGGCAGTTGAACCAGTTTTCTCCCACACTAGGTTTAAAGCAGTAGTCACAGGCTGCTCCATCTGAGTATGAAGAAGCTTTAAAGGTAAGCATCCTCCCTTCATACTAGGAGCGTTCCTCAGCTTGAAGAAGATACCAGGAGGGATTCAAACTTGCATATTATTGGCTTGTAGGAAGGGAGAAATGAGATGTGAACTGTCCCCATTCCTTGTTGCTGTCAAACCTGGAGAATCTTGAAAAACACTGAAACATTTTTTCCATAAGTTATGTTGATTAACAATCTGTTAAAAAGTTTTTGGAAGATGGTGGGCTTTGGTGTTGAGATAAAACATACCTACAAGTGGGCTGATCGTGGTGTATCCTTGTCCTGCTGAAAAGAAAAGTGTTCCTCGCTGAGGTAGCAGCTGTTAAGAGAGACCTTAAAGTTGTCTGAAATCTACCAACTGCCTGCTCCACTGGGAGAATAGGCTAGGAAGAAACAATTGTTTTGGAAGTCCTCTGACAAATTCTGCTTAGTGAAACAGGAGGTAGATTGTCCTGCACATTTTTATTGCAATTTTGTGAATATTTTTGGTTGTTTCCATTAGGAGACCTGGTTTGGAGCACCATTAAGTCCATGAGACTGTTGATTTCACTTGCATTTGTCACAGATGTCTATCTCTGTAGGTATATCCAGAACGTCACAAGCAAAACACGGTTAGCAAAACGCAAATGTAAACACCAGAGAGAAGTTTAAACGACCACAGTTATGGGCCATCCACCTTCATCACAGAACTATGTGTTCGTGTGCATAACGTGTACCTCAGGAGATTTGGCTGCACTTTTTAAAGATTAATTTGTTTGTTTGTTTAGGCAGAAACGAAAAGAAAAACGTCAGAAGAGAAAATTAGAACGTCAGTCAAAACTGGACTCCAATAGTGAAGGGAATGGCAGAAAGCGTATGCGAAGGGAAGTTGTTCCCAGTACCCTTCGCCTCATTGTGGACTGCAGCTTCGATGACTTAATGGTGCTAAAGGTAAAAGAAATATACCTACCAAACACAAATATTGATGGGTGCTCCAGTGGCAGTGTTGATGCAGTAGCAGAGGATAGTTAACATATTTCAGATTGTGATGACTTCTAGACTGGCTCACATCAGTAGGTGAATTTTTCAGGGTTTTAAATATACCTTTTTGTAAGATGGCTAAAGGTTTTGTTCACCTTCATGGCGATGTGGTCCGTTAGCTTGGTTCCGAAAACAGGGGTACAGGAACAATTTGTGCAATGCCTTCAGCCTGATAATACATGCAGTTCTACCTCAAAATGGTTTTGCTAGAGGGGCTGCAAATGCCACAAACACTGTTTTGAAAGGGACCTGAGGCTCCCAGCAGTTTTAGCAAGGATCCACTGAAATCAGGATTTTTAGCATGAGTCTGCTGAGCTTTTTCTCTCAATTACACCATAGGCAGTTGGGACAGGGCAATACAATTCAGCCTATGTCTGAAATTTTAGAGTGGATACTCTAAAATTCTCTTTCCATAGTCACTTTTGCCAGTTAAAAGCCTCCTTTTTCTCTCTTTAGCTTCTGACTGGCTCATGGTAAAGCATTTTGTGGTGGTCTGTCTGAAGGACTATGTAAAAACAAATTGTGTTGTGTACAGGATGTTAAGAAGCTTCACAAGCAAATTCAGAGATGTTACGCAGAAAACCGCAAAGCATTCCATCCTGTGCAGGTATGTTTAAACAAGCTGGGAACTGACAGTATTGCCACGTACAAAGTTTAAGAGGGCAGCTGTGCCACAAGTGGGGGTGGAAAAATAAAGAAGCGGCCTTTATTTAGTAAAAATAAATAAATAAATAAATAAATAATTACTTCTGTTGTACCTGACTAATTTTCAGTCCACATGTTATAAAAATTCACATTTGTAAAAGTATGTGCATGTCAGTGACATTCTCATGCTATAAAAACAGCTGATAGTCAATATTGTCTGACAGACACAGAGAGGGGGGAAAAAGTGACTGCATGTATTTGTCTTTAAAATTGCCTCTACCTGTCTGAATGTGGTCTTAGTACCACTTTTAGCTAAATAGTAAGAGTTTTAGCTAATACTTAAGGGTAGAAAAAAAACTTTTGTGCAGAGTGGAAAAACATTGGCATGTTAACATTTCAGTTCTATGTACCTTTTTGTTGTTCTTTTCTAAGTTTTACTTGACCAGCCATGGCGGACAGCTGAAGAGCAACATGAATGAAAACGACAAAGGATGGGTGAACTGGAAGGTGAATAATTGACTGTTTCTGTTAAGAAGGGGAAAAGAAATCTTCATTGTGATTGTTAGCTAGGTTGTTTGTTGTGAAGGATCTGTGTGGTTGTTTTTTCTTCTTTTTTTTTTCTGTGGCATCAGAGCAATACTAAAAAAAATCCAGTGTGGCTCTTTGTGCTCTAAAATAATGAAATAAACCAAGCAGTGCTAGTGAATCTAGATTCAGTGAATCTTGAATCTAGATTTGTTTTTGCTTAAAAATCCCCACATATACAGTCTTCACGTGTTCTTACTGAACAGATACCGTTCTCTGATGGAATAGGCAAGCCTACCTTATTTATGCATTTTAGACAGTCATCTATCTTGACAGTGCTCTGTGTTTTTATTGGGAAAATACCCCTTTAAATCATGATGTGACTCTCCTGCTGGTGCCTTGCTATATTATATTGCCTTTCAACATTGAAGCGTTCTTTAGAGAAGTTGTTTGACTCAGTGTCAAGCTCACACTGGTTTTCCTGGTGACTCCCTGTTAAATAAGTGCTCCAACAAGCCTAAATAAAAATGCTTTGCATAAGTGAAAAATAGTTGTACTTCCAGCATGTTCTCTCTGAGAACTGCTGTGCAAAAGCCTAACATACGCCTCTCCTACCAAGCAAGTAATGTTAATTTAGCATTTACTTCTGGCCTTGCCTTTCAGAAAGGTAGACTTGAAAATGATTGGGATCCCTTAGGGGACATACTGTAAGATCTGAAGGGAATCACAGGATCTTAAGGTTTTACAAAGTTCTTTTTGGGTTTTCAGAAAGGCTCCCGATGATTTTTACAAGCCGGTGCATTAGAGGGTTATAGCTGAGGCTGTGGATTATTTATGCAGAGCTCAGTCTGCGCTGTTTGATGTACTTACACATGACTGGGAGGCATAGAGCAACTGCACACTCTTATTTTTCCTGCTTCTGTCTTGGGTCCGTAATCTTGCCCAGCAATTCATCAGTTGAATGTACCTTCTTTTAACTATTTTTTTTAGGATATCCAAATTAGAACAGAGCATTACAGTGAGCTAATAAAGAAAGAAGACCTTGTATATCTTACCTCAGATTCCCCAGATGTTCTCAGCGACCTTGATGAGAAGAAAGCCTATGTGATTGGAGGCCTGGTGGATCACAATCACCACAAGGTAAACTGTGGGTATGGTTCTTTAGAGCTCTTTTATTGGCATAAATGCAGCACATGTATAAACTAACAAAAATAAATAATAAGACAACTTCTTCAAAAAGATTTAATTCAAAAAAATGTTTAAGGAAAACAGGAAAAAAAGCTTGTGGTGGTAGCAGTGGCTTGTGTTCCAGAGTACAGACATGCTGAGACTTTTTGGGATTTTATCTTTTCGTTTTAAATATAGGAATGGAATTAATAACACCGCTCAGCTTACTGAGGGCCATATTTTCAGACAGAAGGGTTTGGTTTCTGTTCATGCACTTGTGTGTGTGCTTGTATGTGCACATGCCCAAAAATAGATGAAGAACAGCGCTTGAATCTTGTATGTCCTTTTTTAATGAGTTTGCCTGTCAGGAGAGTTTGGCTATGTAATGCACATGCCTCAGGGATCTGGTTCCATACCTGCACGTGGGATCGTGCTGTGTGGACTGGGAATGTCATGGAGAATGCAGCTGGGAAATTAAAGCACTGCTACTGCTTTTCTTCAGGGACACTCCTATGTAATTTCTGGTGACGTTTGATACTTCAATGTAATGCTAAAAAAAGGGGTGAATCTTAAGCCTTACCAAATGATACTTCAGCAGTTAGTCCACAGTGAAAGGCTAGGAGGGAGCTAAAGCATATCCTTTATATATTTATTATGGTATAATAAATATGGTTTACTCACTTTTCAGAGTATTTTTTTTTCCCTATATTGGGTACAGAATTTGCTGGTTTTAAAAAAGAAAATTCTTTTTCCTTTATTCTTCCTCTCAAAAAATACCCAGTTAGTGTAACCTGAGTAATTGTTTATTTAAGCTCAGACTTGCCTTTAAAACAGGTTGTGGCTGACATGTCCTAGAGCTGTGTGACCAGATTTTATTTACAGTCCTGACCATACATCACAGTGTCACGTATTCGGGGTAGGAAGGTTTTCAAAGGTAGCCCTTGAAGCAGGTACAATTTTACCTGGATGTGTTTCTAAGTATCTTGTAAAGTAATAGCACGGCAGTGACTCTTGCAAGGAAATGATGATTGTAGTAATCTGTATGTGCTGATTCAAAATTGTGATTCTCAGTCCAGTTGCTTTGGTGTCTTTCCTGCAGGGAATTACTTACAAAAAAGCTGTAGAGCAGGGAATTGGTCATGCACAGCTCCCCCTTGGAAACTTTGTGAAGATGAACAGTCGGAAAGTTTTAGCAGTCAATCACGGTAAGTTTTAAATCACAGGATAATTATATTACTATAAAATATGCCTGCCATGTTAAGAATTTAAACCCTCAAAATGTTCACTTATTGTGCTGAAATTTTTTTTTGAATCAAATTGCCTTTGGGAATCAGTTATTTCCCTAGCCACTAAATATTTTAGGTACTGTTAAATATAAAAGTAGCTAAGGAAGTTCCCTACCCACTTAGAAGTGCACCTTCTATTCTGTTAACTTGTCCCATAATTACTTCTGGCATTCTTATCATCCAAGCCTTGTTGCTAGACCTAATGTTTAAGTGAGTAAAATGTTGGAAACCATCCCATGGATTGTATCCCCTTGGGGTTTAAGTGTATGTGATGGTTTTCTTTCCCCTCTTGTGACAACTTTGCTCAGCAGTAGCTGTTTAGGTAGGTGTGGACTGATCCATGGTATAAGCAGTGCTCCATCTGCTGAGCTTTTGCAACTGCATTTTTAGCAGGTTTCCTGGTTCAGATTGAAGCATACAATGATGTTTAATCAAGTCTTGACACATGCACCCCCTTTAGTTCTTTTGTCTATTATTAAATTATCTTTTTGTCATTAAACAGGGAATTATACAGGGAAAATGGGGTCATCTCAGACCTTCATGGGAACTACTTGTGAAAGTCATTTTTTTGCCTCTCTTTGTTTCAAGCTTCTTTTATTATTTAACATGTTGCTTGATGATAACTTCAATTTCTGGAAAGGCCACTGATTGATTAGATGTGTGTTGGCATGATACATGAAACTACAGATTTAAACATACAGGAAAATGCACCTTATAGCTTCCTTTTAATTGTATGTCCCCAGAATTAAAAGATATTATACATACAAGGGATTGGATAATTTACATGTTTCTAAAACACGATATTTTAATGTTATTTATATAGACCAGCAGGGCTTTACATGTTACTCATCAGAAATTATGATAGCTGTAGAGTTTTACTGGAGTACTAGAGTTTTTCTGCAATAATCTTATACTGACCTCTAGTGTCAGTGTTTTTGGAGGTTGTCTCCTACAGGTTTGAGCACTGGGTATAGATCAGATTGCTTACACTGAGGCTTTCGTTTATATGCTTTACGGTCTTGCACGTGTTTCCTGTGCCAGATTTTTAGGCACCTGATTTCACTGCAGTTTAGTTGCTGAGATTTCATATTAGGTAAGAGCCCTTCTAAAGCCCCTGCCCTTCTAAAGCATTCAAATCAGTGTGTTTTTTTTTTTTGTTTGTTTTGTTTTTCTCAGTTATTTGCCCTGAGATTTTTGTATTTTCCTGCAAACATGACTACCTCATGGCTTTATATAACGTGTAATTGCACGTGGTTTCTGGTTTGTTTATTTTGACTTCTGGATGCCTGCTCTTGGTGCAGAAATTGAAGCTAGCAGAGCACAGTATGGGGCTTGCCAGATGAGACTTTGGGACCTGCCTGCTCACTATGGAAATACTTTCAATAGGTGTGAATTTGGAAAATCCTGCAGAATAAATTAGTTGTTAACTGCCTTGATAGTCTTTGAAGCACTTTAATTAAATAGGGCCCTCTTGTGGTGGGAGATTGACAGCATCGTTAGCAGTGGAATCCTCTTCTTGCTTCTTATTTTTATTTTTTACTTTATTTTTTTAAACTTTCTTGGGATCACGTCCCCATATACTTCCACAGGCAGTTCAGTGCCTGCCTTGCCACGTTATAATGGCACGAGGAATGCATACATGTTGTGAAATGTGCTAGAAAACTGACAAACTTGTGAGATGAAATTTTTTCCACCTTGATCTGGAATGTTAAAACTTGGAAGATGTGAAATCAGTGCAAAACACAACTGCCAGTGTAGCTGAGAGAACTTGTTTTCATCTTCAGCTTTCTGTCCCAAGGCTAATACTTTGCAGTGTCTGTTACCAGACCATTATTGTTCCACCCCAGTCTGCAGTGATGTCTGTTAACTGCACTGCCTCTTCCTGTCCTTGCTTCATATTTTTGTTGCTGTTGCAGCCCCGTGTCAAAGCCCCTGTTGTGCTGTTGAAGCCACTCTCTTTCCATCAGTCCTGTTTTTGCTCTGCAGGTAAAGGGAGTTCCTACACAAAGCAGATAACTTGCTCCTTGTACTCTCCTTGTTTCTTAAGCAACTGTTTCTGCTACAGTCTTTGGAGAGATCATATCTTCACAGTAGTTCTGAGGGGAATAACGTGCTTAGAAAATGGCCAGCTCTTTGATATCAGTGTCACAGAGTCTTGTAAACTGTGGATCCTGGCTGGCTGTCCAGTAAGCCTGGATCCAGGAAACCTCTTGTAAATGTGACACTTTCTTGTAACTTGACTCTCAGCGAGTATGAGAGCTGTGCGGCTCCTCCCTTTCTGAATGCTTGCCTAACTCTGTAGGTTTTTTTCTCCCCTCTTTAATTCCTTTGATCCTTTCTAGTATTCTGTCATTTGGCATTGAGAACACTTGAACTGGGCGCATTCTCTGAAGTCAGCATTCCCCAGTGGTGTTAATGCTATTCCTTTAGCCTCGAGCCCGAGGAACGACCCTTATGCCCCAGATTTGTCATCCATGTCTGGTTTACTTATCACCATAGGGCCTCCTCCTGCCTTCTGTGCTACTGCAGAGCCCCAGCCTATGTTTTTTTGGGTAGCCTGGGATTTTTCTAAATAACCAAATGCACGTAAGCCTCTGTAGAAATGAATTTGGGGGTGTGTTCCTATCTGCAGTTCAGTTAGCTACATGTAAAAGAGCTGATGGTCTTTCTTGACGTTGCAGTGTTTGAAATCATCCTTGCATACCTGGAGAAGAGAGACTGGAAGGAGGCCTTTTTCAGCGTCCTGCCACAGCGGAAAGGGGCTGTTCCTCTGGGAGAAGCCAACGATTCATCCACACGTGCTCTGTCTGAAAAAGAAGGTGAAGACAACGACTCTGACAGCAACTAGCCTTCAGAGTGAGAAGATGAGACGTGCAGTTCACGGGACGATGGTGGGACGTGGAGTAAACTCTGAAGATCTCCTGCTGCCCCTGTGATACTGAATTGTCTCAGTGCTCAGTAGTTGGCTTAGAGCTGTTCCTGGACAGAAAGGGTAGAGACACGTGCGGTTCTTACCCTGAAACTTCCATCTTAAGAGCTTTAAAAAAAATAAATGAATGGCAAATGCAGAATTTATTTTGTTTCCCAAGGAAGCTATTTTATTTATTTCCATTTTACGGTTTGTTTGTTTTTATACTTCCAAAGTTGGGTGTATTACCCAAAAGAACAAGTAATTACTATTTTAATGTGTGCACTCTTCTCCATATCAATGCTAAGGTTTCCTAAATGCAGTGCATGACAAGTATTCCTGTGACCTCAAAACCTGTACCACTAGTGCCTGTTGCGAAGTGTGCATGAATGTTAAGAAAAAATCAAGTTCTAATTTTCCTGAGCATCTCAACAGATGATCACAAGCAATGGAGCTGCCTTTGTCTGCTGGGCTGCTCTCATTTATACCTCTGCATCTAGTTAGTTGGGGTCAGAAGATGAAACACGAGTTGGGGGTTAAGCCAGTGGTTAATGCTTCAGTTTGAGTGGGCTGGATGTCTGCACTAGTGCTGATCGTGTACCTTGGTTGGCACTCAGTGCATGATGAGTTGAGGTGACATGATTGCTTTTAGTGATTTATTGATGATCTTAGCAAAATTTAACCTGCAGTGTCAGAATATACCGGGCATCAGGAACTCCTAGTTACAAGTCCTTGCTCTTCAGTTTCAGTGTTACCTGATCTGTCCCACGATTGTGTATTAACTGGAGTGTCTGTCAAATATTTTTTCTTTAAAAAATAAAAAGTCACAGGTTGTCTTAACTGTAATCCAATTTATTTTTATCTGATTTAAGAGCTTTGGCCAAGTGCTGAAATGGATGTCTTGGAGCTGTGGCTTCACTTCTCACCTGTGAGCCCTTCCGTAGGGCTAGCAGGGGGCGTGTTGGGTCTTCAATGAGTGCAGCCTCATGTAGGTTGGCTGAAGAGCTTAAAAATGTCATAACTCTGCTGAGCTGGAATCAGGGGGGTGATACAAATATGGCTCAGTTTGTGTCCATTTTTATTCCTTCCTCTGTTACTTCTTTCAAATCAAGAGTAAAAGTGGGGTCCCTACAGTGTCCCTATGGTCTGTAAAGGGTTGGCATTAAACTAGTCTTGAATTTCTATACATGGTGTACTTCTCCCTATACTTCTCAAATGACCAAATAAAGGTCTTTTCTGTTAAAAGCATGGATTGTAGTTTTTCCCTCAAATAGTTTTTTATTGTTTTGTTTTGTTAGGCTACACAAAAATGTGATTTCTTTTGTTCCAGAAACTAGACCAGCTTTTTCATGCAAGCGCTTCTGGTTTTATTTCTGTAACAAGAAGCACAGTGTAAGTATACCCACCACGTATTGTTACACATAAATGTCACACAAATGCGTGAAGTGGTGAGTTACAGGGAGGTACATCTTTACAGCTAAGGTACTGCATGTTAATGTGCACAGCACCTATTAAACCTGATCTGAGACTCTTCAGTCTCCAAGGTTTTCTTAAGACTTTAATGTGAGTGCCTCACTTTAGTAGGCAAAAAGGGGACTTTGGAGACATTTTGAAAGAGTCTAGAGGCATTTTATGGAATTGTTCTGCTGAGAAAGCATTTTTGTTCTGTGAATAAATTGTGTTGCAGCTTAAAATACAGCTTGTCTTGCATATGCAGCAGTGAAATTAGATAAAAGTACATGAGTGCATGTGCATATATTTTAAATATTTGAAGCTTACCTATCTCTGGACAAATTGGGAATGTAGCCCTGTCTGCTTTAATCTGCAGAATCAGGAGGATTTGCACATTGTTACAAGACAAGGTAGCACTGACTGGGAGTGTCTCTTGGCTCCTGCTTTTCTGTCTTGCACACTGAAATTCAAATTAAGGAAAAGATAGCCTGGGGTGCTGCCTTTGGGAGGCTCCTAGTATTACTCCACAACCCCACAGCACCTAAGGGACCAGTCATTGCCCGTTCATACCATTGCATGTCTAAATCACTAGGTCTTTATGTCCTCTCTGGTGCCTTCCCCAGTGATTTCTATTAGTGCTGTGTCCTGGGTCCCAGGTGAGAGGGAAGGAAGTCCCCAGTAAGGGACAGGTACGAGGTCTGAGCCGAATGCAGTGGATGGGGAGCCACGAGCTATACGTATTTCACAGAATCACAGAGTTTCTAGGTTGGAAGAGACCTCAAGATCATCGAGTCCAACCTCTGACCTAACGCTAACAGTCCCCACTAAACCATATCCCTAAGCTCTACATCTAAACGTCTTTTAAAGCCCTCCAGGGATGGTGACTCTACCACCTCCCTGGGCAGCCCGTTCCAGTGCCTCACAACCCTTTCAGTAAAGAAATTCTTCCTAACATCCAACCTAAAACTCCCCTGGCGCAACTTTAGCCCATTCCCCCTCGTCCTGTCACCAGGCACGTGGGAGAACAGGCCAACCCCCACCTCACTACAGCCTCCTTTAAGGTACCTGTAGAGAGCGATAAGGTCGCCCCTGAGCCTCCTCTTCTCTAGGCTGAACAAGCCCAGCTCCTTCAGCCACTCCTCATAGGACTTGCTCTCCAGGCCCCTCACCAGCTTCGTCGCCCTTCTCTGGACCCGCTCAAGCACCTCGATGTCCTTCTTGTAGCGAGGGGCCCAAAACTGAACACAGTACTCGAGGTGCGGCCTCACCAGAGCCGAGTACAGGGGGACGATCACCTCCCTAGCCCTGCTGGTCACAGTGTTTCTGATACAAGCCAGGATGCCGTTGGCCTTCTTGGCCACCTGAGCACACTGCTGGCTCATATTCAGCCGACTGTCCACCATCATTCCCAGGTCCTTCTCTGCCTGGCAGCTCTCCAACCACTCCTCTCCCATACTTCACGAAGCATTCAGAAACACTGGACAGTTCAATTAGCCTACTACCCGATCCTTCTCAGTAACAGCAGGCGCTTCCAAAAGACTGCAGGCTGCCAGCTGTTTGTGGCGGGGACGAGTGATAGTTCAGAAGATGGGGCACCTAATTACACTGCAGAATAAAGAAATGCAGCTGCCTCGCCAGAACGGTCGTACAAGGATCTCCCTCCTCGCTGCACCCCGGTGTGATGGTAAGAATCTGCTCCGGCTTCTTCTGTTAGAGAAGTCGGTCACTACCTTTTTTGCCATCCCCTGTCCTCCCAACATAAATGGCTTTGAATCTGGTCTCGAGGTTCACACGTTGAATATAACCTTGCTCTCCCTTCACTAGGATGGGTGAAGCGCCTTTGAGGGAGGTTTGTTTCCAGACATCTAGCAAAAGCGTTAACAGATGCTTTGGGAAATAAAGCTCAACTGACCTCGCAAGCTATCCTGCTTCTGGCCCTAACGTGTTTGCTCAGTAGCCTGTCAGCTTCACGGAGGAAACGTAACCGTGCTGTTGCAAGGCTGTGTTAACACGGTGGCTTTCACTCTGGTTCTGCTCACCGACGAGTCTCCAAGGCCTCCGAGATGTAATTACGGCCTTCAGGCTCAGCTAACGCAGCGCGATGCTAAGAGACAACTGATAAGAAACGCTCAGGACAGAGATTTATACAGAATTAAGGCAGAATGGCTGTGGCCAGAAGTACACACGCAGTTATTTACCGCAGCTCAATGCACGGTCACCCAGCCCTGCTGTTTGCTTTCCATCTCACGTTGTAGTGCTTATACCAAAGACACAAGGCAAGTTTCAAAGCTCTGCCAAAGTGAAGGGCGTGCGTCTTGGAGCAATATCATGTTTGCCAGCTCCTCCCATTCGAAGCTTTGCCTCCATTTACTGTGCCCCACGGGCTAATGCTCTTGCAGAGCTCTGGAGAAATTACATATCCCAGAAACCGATGCCCACTTCGATCCTTTTGTAAAATGAGTTTCTGCATCCGTGCTATGAGTCAGCACATGTACCTGAGTAAAAGACCACTGTAAGTGCGTGGCTTTCCACTGGCCGCTCAGAAACTTTTGAGATGTTTTGAAAGAGCCTGGCCTCACTGAATAATCTTTCTCTGGAAAATTAATGGAAGTGTGCTTGATTTACCAACTTCCTTAGTTTTATGAGAATGAACAGAGGCGTGTTTAAAGCAGATAAAATCCGATTCTTCAGCTTTCGCAGTTCACTCACAAGACCTGAGATCCTTTTCTGCCATTATTGGTCTGTATTTTCATTTTCATTGTTTACATGGTGGTTTCAATGCTTGTTTCCAACCCCACACCATGGATGCTAAGGTTTGTGATGCTTTTATACTAATAATGGAGATATGGAAGCAAATCACTGTTTGCAGTGAGGCAGACATCTGCAGTCACTCTGCAGGCCAGATTTTGAGAATCCAGGGTCTTTTTTTCCTCCTTTTTCTTTTCTTTTCTTTTTTTTTTTTTTTTTTTCCCCAGTGCCTGGGGCTTGACATGCATCTCTCCAGGTTTTAAGTGTGCCCCTCTCCTTACCCCAGTATGTCTGCGGCTGTAGGGTCAAATCTGCCCACAAGAACTCTTTGTGCAGGCCTGGCTGAGACATTCAAAAAGATGGATCTGGTGCCAAAAGTGTTGTCTCTGTCTTTTTTTTTTTTTCCACTTAGCCCACTTCACACATATCTATGCAGAATGGTTTGGTTGAATCATACGAAGATCAAATTTAATGAGCAGAAAATTATTTTAAAAGAGAGTCTGAACAGCTATCTTTACACCTCTGATAATCTTTATACCTGTAAGTACACTTTTTTTGTATGTGAAGGTGACTAGCAGCTGCTTCAGTGGCTATGAGGAGGTGGGTCTCCCCTGGAAGGGAGGCATCTGTTGTTTGAGGGGTGGGGGGAAGCAGGACTCGCTCTTGTTTCCACTTCCAGCTCTCTGTTGGCCATGGTTCTTCCCTGGGGACAACGTGTCTGCGCGTGCTGGACATTTGTTTCTCAGCCTTGAGAATAAAATACGTTCTGCATCCTTTTCTGGAAAAAATTGTGAGAAAGAAAGCTGTGAATTCCCAGACTAGGGTTTTGGTGTACTTATTTGGTTTTATGTACACAGCTAAGAGTGTAGAAGCCCATTCACTCGTGAGCAAGGAAGCCGCCCCGACTCAGACACCGTTTTGAAAAGACGAAATCATTGCTTTGGGGATTTTTCCTTTGTCCTTCTTGTACTTACATAAGGCCACACTCCTTCAGTAGGGTTACAAACAGCAATAAATGCTGGTAGCATTAGAGCTGCCCTGAGTGGCTTTGGAAAAAAAATAACATACTCCTTGGCTGACTTTTGCTGTCTCTTTGTGTTTCGGAGGGGACACAAAGATGTGATGGTAGTCTCTGTTTGGAGTGCCAATACTGTTTGTTTGCCCTGGCTGGCTAGAGGATGCAGAAGTGGGCTCTAAGATTTATGTGAACGTTGTGTCAAGAGAAACCAATTGAGTGGCTGCAGGAATAGAGGGTCTTTGAATATCTAGCGCTTAGAGAACTTGAATTCAGATTTTAAATTTAATTTCTCATATTGTCACTGAAGTTTGGTCTCGCTGCAAAGACAAAAGTCAGAGCTGCTGAGCATTCACAGTCCCTGTGCTGCTCAGTAGCGTCCTAGACACGCGGTGTCTTAACATTTACAATTCCATTACTTACCAATCTTCATGTTTTGGCTTGCTTCTGATTCTTTAGTTGAAGGCCTGAATGAAAGAGGAAGAAAGTCACACTTCATGAATAGCATGAACTGAGAACTGCAATGTACAGGAGGCTTTTTTTTCTTTTTAAAAATAAAGGGGGTTTCAGGTGCTCCTAAAGCTTTGTTCTGCTCCTGTAGTAACTAAATCTGTATCAAGGTGCA